TAACCAAGGTATGGACAAGACAGCAATACTGCATAGACACCCCAATAAAGCCACTTCAATAGTGATGTTATCATCTCATAAGCTGATATTGCACATGACAGCAAAATTATAGCCCTGATCCCTCTCCCTGAGATAACAAACAGCATCACAGGGAGTAGATAAAGCATATAAGAATTTGCAAAGCACAGCCACACAAACAAACAAAGTAACATTGTAACCAGCATCTATCCAACCAATATGGGAAATGGATACAAGAAATTTGTTATTGCAACCCTTCAGGCCCCACATTGGGCGCCAAAAAGAACTGTCGTGGTTTGGCCTCAGCCAGCAACAAAGAACCACGCAGCTGCTCGCACAACTCCCACAGTCGTGGAAAAAGAAAACGTCAGGGCAAAACTCGTGGGTTAAAAGAATGTAATTTAACAGAACAGCAAAAGAAAAGATGAAAACGCGATTACAGTACCGCCGCGAAGCGCACTGACCGGACCCGCACCACCGCAGCCCACCCCCAAGTGGCGACTCCTCTCCTCACCCCGGCTAGCTCCAATTATATCTCGGGCATGGGTCACGTGGTATGGAATACCTGCCCCCTGCCGGCCATTGTGGAGATTAACCCCATCCCTGCCGGAACCAGGACATTATCCAACCCTTATTCCATACCATCTGTGTCATGCCCAGATCTTACACGTGGTTTCAACTGCGCTTTTATTTTTTGGGTGGTTGTAATTCATCTGTTTCTTTTGCACTGTCTGGGAAATTTCAAATAGTTAAGATCTCTTTATGTTACAGAATGTCTTTCATATTCTGCAGTAATTGTCAAATTACCACAGTAATACTAGCTACTTCTGTTTTAATTTAATCACTTTATAAAATTATGAATATCTATTGGTCATTTTTAATTAATGCCTTTTCTGAAGGATGTGTTTTCAGCTAATATGAAGACCAAAGCTTTCATTGTTTTTGGTGAACATAAAATAAGATTATTTAGGTTATAAAATTAACAAATTATGGGGTAAAAACACTAAATATATTTAGTGTTTATTCTCAAACATAAGAGGAGAAATGGAGAGGGTGAATATTGTTCTAAGACTTATAAATGCATTTTATATTCTTTTACACAGATTGACTTGGAGAGCATATTTTCACTTAACCCAGATCTTGTACCTGATGAAGATATTGAACCTAGTCCAGAAACACCACCACCACCTACTCCAGCAGTCAAAGTAAACAAAATCATGAAGGTTGGTAATACCTATGCAACATGTTCATATTAAACTTCCAGTACTCCTATACATGTTGTTATGCTTGAATTTTTAAATCTATCATCTTTTGTGTCTGTGGAGCTACTTGATAACTGTGTTTCTTTCTTTTTTATACGGTGAACAGGAGATTCTAAAAATTTTCTAAGAACAGGTTTGGCAGAGAGGGAGTTGGGGACTAATATTTATGTAACTAAATATATCTCGAGGAAAAATATGGAAAAGGTTTTGGAGGTTGTTTTGAAACAGTATGTATAGTTCAAGCAGTCTTTAACCTAGGCTCTTCAGGGAAGGATTTGGCAGCAATCACCTCTCTGTATTGCTGATGTTGTGTTATTTTTATTGGTTGGAAAGAAGCAAAGGTGGGGCTGCAGTTTACATTTTCAATAATAAGGTGATCAAATAACAGAGATTTCTTTCTTTATAGAGTCGACGAACTGTGGCACCTATTAAGAATGACACTCCTGCCAGAGATAATAGAGGTAAATGTTATCTCTTTCCATTTTGAAGAAGTAAAAACCATGGGAACATTTTAATCTCCTGCTCATCTAGCATTCCTTAGTAGTTCTGTATTTCTAATTCGGTATGTATGCATAGGACATGTAAAAGGCATAGTTCATAATTCCTAGAATTACTCCTATGTATATTTAGGAATGCATGCTGTATGAATAGTATTTATATACAAGTTTAAGCAGTATAGCATTAGGAAAGTTAAGCTGAATGAACTGAAAGTGCAAAAATTTGAAGTTAATTAATTATGCTACATTAAATCATGTGTGGACTTTTCCAAGTTAAAGCATCCTCAATTTGCTTCAACTTAATTGACTGGTTTAATATACATTAAATAGTACACTTAAAATTCTTACGCTTTCAATTTTTTAGCTTAGTTTTCTAACAGTCTGTGTATAAACATTCATTCAAAGAGTACTTAAACCCTACAGGTTATTTCTCGCTCTATGGTTAGTAGTGAAAAATCTACAAAAATGCTGAAATATCAAAGGAGGATAGATGAAAAGTGTGTATTGGATTAATACAGATGTAATGCATCTAATAACATGAGAAAGAATAGTTATTGCTTATTGTTTTCATTCTCTCTCCTGCATTAAGGCTGAGGGACTTGGGTCTTTTTAGTCTGGAGAAGAGAAGGCTGAGGGGGGATCTTATCAACGCTTATAAATACTTAAAGGGAGGGTGCCAGGGGGATGGGAACAGTCCTTTTTCAGTGGTGCCCAGTGATAGAGCAAGAGATAACGGGCACAAACTGGAACATAGGAAGTTCCATCTTAACATGAGGAGGAACTTCTTTACTTTGAGGGTAGTGGAGCACTGGAACAGGGTGCTCAGAGAGGTGGTGGAGTCTCTGACTCTGGAGACATTCAAAACCCGCCTGGATGCCGTCCTGTGCAACCTGTTGTAGGTGACCCTGCTCTGGCGGGGGGGTTGGACTAGATGATCTCCAGAGGTCCCTTCCAACCCTGACCATTCTGTGATTCTGTGATTAAAGTTAACTTGTACTTATGATGGTGATGATTCTTCTTCCAAACATTAATCTACTGTCATTAATTCAGGCTAGATTCCATTCCATCTGTTTAAACTTGAAAAACAAGTGGGCTTGCATATCTTTGCAAGTGTTCAGACTCTTCTGGTGGGCGACTGGGATTACTTTCTCCCTTCTGCCGTTTGCCTCTGGGGGTGTTAAATCAGAAATCTCATGAGGAGGGGATAATTTTTTTCAAACTAATATGGTTTAAATTTGAGACATCGTATTGATGGGCTCTCCTCACATCCATACACATTGTCATTTGTAGTAAATAGTCTGTTTGGAATGGAATAACCCTGTAGCTCGTATTTTAATAGGTCCTGTGCATCTTACTATTCACAGTTGGCCTAAGTATTTGTTCTTTGTTGGCCTTGTAACTAAACTTTTCTCAGCACACTGTCTTGTTTAGTGTAGTTAATTCATGCTATAAACTAGATCTCCTATCATATTTGGAATGGTCTGGGGATTTGTCTTGTCTATCCCATTTGATGCTTGTTTCCATAGTTGTCTCCATGTTGCACAGTGTGCTGGCCTTCATTTGGAATGTCACCTCTAGGCTACTTATCAAAGTTGTTGCCTTCACTTTCGTACTCTTCTGACAGACCTTGTTAGGAAAATGTACAGGAAAGCAGCTCAGCTGAAGCAGAGCTGCTTAAAGCAACTCTTTGAAAAACATTCAGCTCTACCAAAGAGGCTTGCATTCATGCCACTCCCACTGCATTCACTGCGAACAGACATCACTCTGCATCTTCAGAAATTGGTATTCTTATCACATATCAAATCAATAAGTTTAGGTAGACATATTGATTGTATCCGTATTCCTTTCAGTATAGTGTCAAAAAGGTTTGTTTCTTCCACTCATAGATTGAGCTGCACTTTGCTGCCTTTCATTTGTATCCCTCTACTTGTCCATAGATTGTAGGTTCAGTGGGGTGGGACCATTTTGTAACACCTAGAAAATGTGAAACAGTGGGTCCTTTTTTCTTACTGGGGTTTTGGGTATAATTATAACATAAATAAAATTTCAACACTTTAAACTTCAAAACTGCATGTTTCCAAGTACATACTTCATTCTGTACACATAATAAGTTATACTAATTCTGTAGTGGAGTATTTAAAAATATGCACATGCAGCATTGGTACTTAATAATTGTGTTGTGTTGGTGTATAACACTAGGATAAAACAAGCTGCATATCGAATGTCTTTATTAATAGACTTTCTACATGTATGGCTCCCCCCCCGCCCCCAATAAATTGTTGTGTCTTAAAAGGAGCCTTGTTTTATCTTGTTATAATTTCAGAATCGGATAGAAACATTACTCTTCCGTATCTAGATGAGCTTTGTGCTTTTCTTTTGCAGTGGTTGGTTCTGCACGTGTGCGGCCTACTCAGCTTCCTGAACAGTCTTCTTCCTCACAACAGAATGGTAGTGTTTCAGATATATCTCCAGTTCAAGCTGCAAAAAAGGAATTTGGACCCCCTTGTATGTAAACCGTGTATCAAGGATTCATTCATTCTGGGCATTATATGTACATTCTCTTGGATTATATTGTCCATAAATGACAAATGGTCTATATATGCAGTTGCCTGTAGGCTTCCTCAAGAAGCTTTTTTGGAGTGCTGTGGTTAAACAAATGTTTGCTTTTGTCATAGTTGTTCTAGTATTTGGAATTTGGTTTTGCTTTATCTTTTTTTAGCCATGATGGTGGGTGTTTTAATATGCCTGGGCTTTCTTTTAATTCAAACCAAGAGATCACATGTATCCAAATATCATCGCACATCCAAATGTGAGGATCATTGAGGCTCATTGTCCTTATATTTTTGGTTGTGTAGTTATTGTCCCATTCCCATGATTTTTTCTAATTCATGTATTCTATAAATTTTAGAAATTAAATTGCCATAATTATTATGTACTAATACTGATTTTCTTGAAAAGATAGTTGATATAAATAAATGCATTCTAATTATTCACAAAATAGTAGAATTGAAATGTTATAGTGTAAATACTAAATTAATGCAACACTAAAAATATTTTAAAAATATATCTTTTTTTAAGCACGTAGAAAATCTAATTGTGTAAAAGAGGTTGAAAAATTGCAAGAGAAACGTGAAAAAAGAAGGTTACAGCAGCAGGAACTTAGAGAAAAAAGAGCTCAGGTTAGTATTTTAAGCTTGGATGGAAAATGTATGTCTGGAAGAGAAGATGTTTGCTAAATTATTGTGCTTTGTTCAGTCTTCAATAATTTTTATGAACTGTAATAGTCTTGTAATTAAATGTTTTCATCCTGTATACAATTTTGATACATATTTTGGTGCATGTTTGCATTGCTCTGATAACTATTTCTTTAGACAGTTTTCCCCCTCTTTTTCTTCCTACAGAAATAATTGCTTACAATTGCTTGTCTCTCTGTGTTATTTAAAAATCAAGTACTGATGATAGCTATTTCTTAGGGAAAATATATTGATGAAAATAATAACATCCTTGGCTTTTAGATAGGGCTGTTATTCTACAGGAGGTATTACAATATTATGATAAATTGTTCTTTATGATCTTAGGAGATCTATTTGAGGCTCAAGTTTGAACAGTTATTTCTTTTTCCTTTACACCTGTCTATGCATTTATAATTTAGCTTTGCATCATGCAAACAGCTTGGCAGCAAGTTGTTAGAAACTTGTGTGAAAGAAACAAAGTTGTTAATCCTTTGAGAAAATCTCTTAATATTAAAGGACTTTGTGTCACAGTAGTGTAAAAGCTTTAGCACAACTAGTAGCATAATCTCGTTGGCAGGCCTGTGTGTGTTAGTCTCTCTAAAGAGATACTACCATCTGCTACTGACAGGAGAAATACCACAACCAAGTAAATAATTCAGGCAATTTACTTCATGGTTTAATGATATTTCTAAGTTGACCTAAAATCACTTATGTTGAATTCATGTTCTCTAATTTCTATCCACTTAAACAAATGCAAAACATTACTATGGTTTTATGTGGGAGGAGCAAATAATTTTTATTTTATATATTAAAATTCTTTGATGTGGTACTGTACCTAAAATTTTCTTTTTATCACTTTTGTGACAACTCCCTTTGCATCCGAGTATTAAACTTCTGTATGAGAAAGTTCTGTTTTTCTTGGTGACTTGCACGTATCTATGCTTTGTGTATTCTGTTGTTGTGAAATGCAGCAATAACTAGCCAAGCACTGGCTTCTGGTGGGCAAGACCTTTAAACAGGGTTTGAAGAATATTAGGCAAATACCTTTTCCTTAATAAGCAAAACCCCTTTCTGAATGT